TATATATATATATAACTAAACGAACTTTATGGTTGTACGGCAGTGAAGCATCAGTGGCAACACTGATGCTGCTGTCTTTGATGATTGATAATGATGACATTAATGGTAAAACCCGTGCAGTCTTATGGGCTGTCCGGAGCGCTCACCTTAGTAAAAGCGGTAAGTTGTAACGGTGAGGAAGGTCGTCGAAAATGCATGACTCAGTGAATTTTCGTCAACCTGGCGGAGGTTGCTTAAGATGGTCATGTTGGTCGCCCTCCGTTAAAAGGATCTTCAGCAAGTGGACTTTTTGTCACCATACATAGGTGTTCCTCCCTGGGGAATGTTATACAACTCACTAACAGCTGCTTACAACGCATTTTTCATTTTTTATTTCATGGGAGCGTATTCATCATTCGTACCGTGACTAGTTCGCCTTGTGTTTGTTGCGAACTTTAACTGATTCTATATACATTTACTCCTATTTCTAATTCAGCAACAGAACTTCGACTATGGCTATCAGTGGGGTGGTGGCCGGCAAGGGCAAAGCGATCCCCAATGGGAACAATATGGTCCGGGTAGGGATTACGGGCCACGTTATCCTCCAGCACAATCTTCTTGGCCTCAAGGATCGGAAAACGCCTGGTATCCGCCTCAGGCATGGTCCGGTGGTCCTCCATATCAGGGTGGTCCAGGTATGCCAAATATGCAACCAGGATATGGACCACCACCGTTGGGCATGGGTGATGGGTATCGTGGTCGCGGATATGGCATGCAACCCCCCTTTGGTTATCAAGGTCCTCCAGGTCCCAATCCTCCAGCTGGATATCCGTATCCTGCGGATAACTTCAACGATTATGCATCCGCTGGTGACTATGGAGGCCCCCCATGTGACGGGACAGCTGGTTCTGGTGTGGACGAAGCATGTCCCGAGCTTGGCGAATCAGATATTGAGCAAAGTGAGAAGAACCTTCAAGCACAGCATGAGGTATTGATGTCCCAGCAGGCTACTGAAATCGACCAGCTGCTTGACCGAGTTCTGGTTGATTCTGTGAAAGAACGAGGGGCCAAGCACGGGATATCATACGAACAGATGGATGAAGTTAGTTCTGTTTGCTTTCTGTTTTCATTTTTCCTTAGCGGTTGGGATTATTATCCATATTGTATATATACATTATTATATTATATATGTGCATATTATATGTTTTGCACTAAAGGACTTCTACTCTGCACGTTCGTCATCTCTTGCAGATAATTCAACCACTAATTGAGTCGTGCACCAAAGAGAATATATCGAAGGGAAAAAGTTGGGTTATTGAACGTGGAACGGAATCCGACGAACTGGCATCACTTGTGCTTGATTACCTACTGGCTCGCTCAGCTGATCAGAACGTTTCCTTTGAGCTCAGACTTCACTTGGTTTACCTGATGAACGACGTCTTGCATCACTGCAAGCGGCGTGGGGCACCAAATCATTTACAGGTAAGAATTTATTTCCACAGCGTTACCCCCTTTATGCTCTTCATGCAGCATTTTCGGGTATAATTTTCAAGACGTTTCTTAGGGATCGATTTTTTGTGGGGGCACTGTTCCCCTTACGGTCGCATTTCACTTCCACGGTTTTTCCCTGTTCCTCTAATTAACTCTCAAATAATTTTAGGTGTGCACCTAGGGTCCCTATTTTTCCCATTTATGCAACTTCGAAACAACTTCCCAGTTTTTTTGCTGTACGAAGTGCAGGGTTGTTTTTTTCGACTACCCTCGAGCGTTGTGTGTGACTATGTGAATTTTACTGACCCGTTTACGCTTTATTTCGGGCAAAGCTGTCTAGTAGGCCAGAAACTGCCTCTTCAAACACGTTTTTCTGTCTCCATCTTCCTCTCTGGCGAGAGAATGACCTCTGTGGTCGTATGTTTCACCTGAAAATTTCAGCAGTTTTACCCCAAAAAGTCCGCTTGTAGGTGGACGCAAATCGGGTGGAGAGCATATTGTCAGTCTGATGCAGATACATGGTCATAATTCGGATATTTTGGTGGGAAATAGTGATCGATGGCCGTGCTTTACAGAAACCCAGTGAATTGTGGATGGGTTTCCATGGTCACTGCAGAGCTAGTGGAGCTCAAGACTGTACCCCGCGAGACAAAAACAGTCCGTACTATGTTTGTAACTTAGAAGTGGGCAGTCAAAAGTGTCAAAAGTGGCACATCTGGACGGAGGCGTTTTGGTCCGGAAGTTTTTTATCAATCAGCTGACTTCACTGTTTTCACAATGTGCGCAAGACTGTATCGTGAAATCGAACTATGCAGTAGCAAAATACCGGCCAGTTAAGTAACTGGACCAGTTTGTGACATGTTTCTCATTGATAATGGTTTGAGAGCCAAGGCACTGAACACGTGTTCTCCGCCTTCATACTGCATGGATATCAAAGTTAGGCTACCGTGGATTACAATTCATTCAGGATTGGAAGTATTGGGTACTAATGTAGGTACGGAAGCTTTTGGAAGACTCCTGCTGGATTGAACAAGCTGATGAAGGGGTTCGGAACTACAAGCTGGAATCAGGTTCTCAAAATTGTGATACCGGTGTAACGGTGTATACTACCAATGAGGCATGCAAGTAATCTATGATCTGGTGTCAAGCTTCGCCCCCGCATTCGATGGAAGGTGAAGGTTACCACGGAACTTATAGGACCGCTTTGCAGTGTTCTATTTTTTCATCAATCAACGTCCAGGAAAGTTCAAGAGGACTCCCAGGAATGTTCAAAAACTCTGTAGATGAGATGTTTACTTTCGTGTCTAATGGATTGTAACTGCTTAGTTTATGTTTGCTAATAACCGACCTCACAGCGAAGGGCTTTCCACTAAGCTATCGTTCGTCCATCACACGAAATTCCCCAATACCATTCTCACATTCCCCACTGTAAATGCAACCTGTTTTTTTTTCTTCTAAAAATAGGAAGCGTTTCAGCGAGTTGTACCACTCCTCTTTTGCCTGGCGGCAAATTTGGCTGACGATGATAAGATGACCAAGCTCAACAGAGTTTTGGATCTATGGGACTCGAACGGCTACTTACCACCAACTGTACTCGAAAAGATGCGACCTCCGAAACTGGGGACATTCTTAACCGAATGGAAGGAAGAACGGGAGAAGGTAAGTCTGTATAGTGAGTCTCTTGGTTCTTTAGTACAAGAGCGCGAAACATTCGCTTCAGAGTTTTCCTGGTGCTTCCCACTGGCAATTTTGGCATCTTCCTAATGCTTTCGCGCAGTGTGATGCCGTTAGCACATTACATGAAACACAATCGTGCATACCAGTCTGATTCCTTACTTATTTCAAGTGTGTGTAGTGTCATATATTGCTTAGGTGAAAGGAGAGCATACCTTTTCGCACTGCAGCTGGGAGGTCTATGCAATGTCTTATTTGTTGTTTCAACTATTCGGCTGCCTTTCCTCTCTCCATACTCTGTGCGGGGACTCCAACCCAGTCTTTTCCATTTCATAGTGAATAAATTGCCCAATCATATAGCATGTCTCGATGTGCGAATGCCGCTTACAGTTGACTGTTTCCGCTAGTGGGGTTCAATGTAGGTATCGTAAGCATCGCTCGACTTGAAGGCCCTTGGTTTTAACCCGAACCCGACTTCCCGGTTGTTTCTCCACAGGTTTGATGAATCTGACAATGCGTCAGCCTTCGTGCTTGTTTTGGGTTACATGACAACGATCTACCTGAAAAGTATCATAGCTGAACGACTCGATATTTTCATCCTTGTTATTGGTAAGCCGCACCCGAGGGTTGCTTAGTATCTCGCTTAACCTAAACATTTAACTCCGAATGACTAGTGCTAGTATACTTCATAGCCTGGTTAGCCGTGAGGTCTGGTAGTGCCCCATGGTCACGTGTGTTTACCCCTATGTGACCTGGAAGCTGAGGACAGTGTGCAGGTCCAGATTAGACAACGTGATGCCAAACCATGTGTGGACTCATTGTCCATCGGCGCACTCAGGGGCCTTTACAAGTTTTTTTTGCCAGTGAATTTCACTCGGCTCCTATTATCCATCTTACTCATTCCATGATCTTAGGTCAATGCGGCGGGCATTTCGGAAATTAAGAGCAAAATTGAGGCACAATACGCCAGCTTGGAAAAACAACACCAGGAGTTCGCTGACCACGTCCGGCAGCAGTTGGCGACTTTGCGCGAGGATGTTGAATCGCGGCAACAGCACCACCAGCGCCAGTTTGAACCACCCCAACAACCACCACTTCATCAAATGCAGGTGAGTTCACCCTGTGTGTTTCCTGAACGCATTCATCTGGTGTACCTAAACTACACTTACGCGAATAGACTTGTGAACTTCAGAATCTGCTCTTGAGACCAAGTCGGCAGACAGTATTACAGATCAGTGGTCGAATATCCAGACAATCGCTTGACGCTCATCCGCCCACCCGATTTACTGAGCAACCGACAACGAATTCCTATAAATACGAGTGCTTCTGCCTCTTCTCTGAAGCAAGATATCCCCAATGGTGGTCTGATACACATCAGAATTAGAAGTCGCGCCAACCAATGGGGGTGTCCGTTAACTCTCTACTTAATCAGGGGATCAAGACGAAGGTTAGTTGGTGAAGGAGGCTAACTAGTAGTCAACCTACTGGAGCATATTGAACGTCTGGATAGTGCACACCAAGCGAGATTCCACTGGCTCCAGATTCCCACCCTAACTAATCATATCCCCATCAATACTCAATGGCCCATCAACACAACTACCTGTGCGGTTACCAGGGCGGTAACCAATTCAGGGATCATGCAAAGGCGACGATCCGTTGTTTGTAAAAACTCGTCGTATGGATATAAAAACCATCTGTTGTATGTGGCGCTACCACTGTCATTCCTATTCACAAACAGGAGAGACGTTCAGAGTGCAATAGTAACTGCTTGTTCAACGCTACTTCTTCTGCACTGTTTGTAGTCATTACCTACGGCGGCATTGTGCAGCATTGTTTCAGCTTGAGCTAACTGTTGACTGATAGGTCATGACAGTCGTGAATAACCTTGAAGCAGTCGCGGTCTTTCACTCAGCAGGAGTATCTAATCAACTTTTTTAGTTATCCGTTAGTTTTTGTTCACCTGTTTCTAGAGGTCGATTAATCAAACCAATATCAAGCTTTTGACATCTTGAGATGAGTGACACATCAGTCATTTCGATTTAAACCGCCAAAAAAAACGGAAAATTCTGGCCACATGATGCGAGTCAGTCTCATGTACTTGCTTGATTACTGGACGACACGTTTTTATCATACACTTACCCCGAAATCTCTGTTATGGCATTTTGAACTAACTGCAATCAGTTCTCTTTCTCTAGCGCTGACTTGACTCCTTTGGACCTTATTCGTTTCAGGGTGGCGGTGGTCCAGGCTATGGAATGTGGGGCCCACCGGGTCCTCGGCCAATCCCATCTTACGAGGGTGAAGACGATGGTGGTGAACCTTCACGCAGAATGCCTCCTGGGGGATATTACATGCCACCGCATATGGATGGCCCTCACAGTGGTGGCCCGGGATACCACCATAGCGGTGGCTGGCCAGAGAATCACGGTGGCGATTGGGGTCGGCCTCCATTTCATCCCTACCCTCCACAGGGATATGGTCATCCTCGTATGCGTGGGGAACCAATGAACAATAGGCCTTACATAGAGGGGGAGGAAAATGACCGGGATTATGGTCGACATTACGATCGAGGTGGGTACTTTCGTAAACTGAAATTCTCTTTTGGTCCCAACAGTCATGTTGAGATCGTCTCCTTCCTAGCATTGAACTAGCTTTTTAAACCTTTTTTCCTTTTTTCAGAATATGATAACCAGTACGATAATTACTATCGGTATGATGATCGTATGCGTGGAGACAATCGCAGTAGCAGTGATCGGTCCCACCATCATCGGTCACGTCCTTCACGTTTCTCCTCTGCCTCCTCGCGGCGTGAAAGTTCTCGTGAGGAAGCACCAGAAGAACACAGACCTCGACAGTCCCGTGGACCGTACCCCTCTGGCGATCATGATGCAAGTATCCCCGAACCACCCCCAGAAATCCCTATCGACCCGAAAGACCTCGAACCGAAATGCCCAGTGTGGGAACTGCCTGCGGGCCTTATGCATCCATTGATCCCTTTGTGCGATTTTGATTATACACCATTGGATGGATCTAAAATGCGACTACTTCCCCCGAAAGCCCCAACGGAACGACTTCTTGTTGCAATTGACGCGTTCTATTTACCGCCCAGTCATGATCGGACGCGCGACGGGGAAGGGTGGGAACGGTTAGGGTTATATGAGTTCTACACGAAGAAAGAAAATGCGCGTGATATATTGGACAAGCTAAGGCGGAATAATAATTCAGAGGAGGTTGGTTTGTTTTTTTACTCAAGTTGCATTATATTCAGTTTACTGATCCTCGCGCCGGTTGTGACTTTATTTTTCTCCTGATGCGTGAGCTAGTTGAAATTCTAGTCTATTGAATCCCTTCATGAACTACTCACGTAGCACCTGTTGAGAATTCCCTTTCTGCCACCACCAAAAATGGCCTTAGTGTGTTGACTGGACCGGTCGCCAGTTGCATGGGTCCTCTTATTGGTTCAAGAAGAGCTTTTTGTTGCCCATGGCTTTAGACAGCCAGAATAGACGGATGTGCAAACAGCAGCGCACCGAACGCAAAAACTAACCGCATGGTGAGCTAATGCTCGGTGTTTTGTTCACGGGGTCTGCAGCATTATGTAGAAGATCCAGTTGCCAGTTGTGCATCTGTCACTCTATGTTAGAACTACAGCCAGAGTCTCATTAGCCAACGTGCAGCTGCACTGTGGTGTACACTGCCGCACCCCGATGAGGAAATGAACTCTGCAGCAGACGCTTTACCCAAACAAAAAAGACCAGTTTTTAACGGTCATTCCACACGGTCCTTCCAGAGGTGAAAATCATGGAAACTCGTGACCACTCCGAACTTAAGCTTGGCTGTAAAGAGTTTAGTTAAGAATGTGAATGGCACCGAAATAAAGGTGCACAAATTTCGCAAGGAAGGGTGACCTTTGTGGGAGTTGGGGGGCAGTCCGTATAAGGTCTCACTTCTAATTCAACCCTCGCGAGACTGCAGCGAAGTTGTCTCACTTAGAAGTTGGGTTCTCCTCGGAGGGGACTGGTCAGAGGCAGAGCCTAGTAATTCACTTGCACACTAAAACTTTGGATGGGTTTTCACTGGTCATTAGCACTCTGTTTTCCAAGTTATTTCATTTTCTTTCCGTAACTAACGTACTGAGTAAATGTCTTCCCTTCTTATCAATTTACTTTTCGCCCGTTTCTTTCAAGCGTGATCGCGGTTCATCACGCCGAAGCCGAAAACATAGTGGTGGTAGTAGCGCGGCTGACAGCGTGTCCGATGGTGAATCTCAGTCTGGGTCTGCAGCAGGTAACGATGCCGTACAATTGGATCCCGAATCAGAGTACGCCAAACCGTTCAGTCGGGACACAACGCGTGGAAACTCTCGACCGGTGCATCATCTGTCGCATATCACTGCTTATCCAACCGCAGCCATCGGACAGGGAATTCGTACCGGCCCCGAGGCGCTCACACACGTCCCTCCGCCAGGAATGCAAACTGCCTTTCCAGGATTAAAGGGTCCCGGAATAACTATTCCGCCGCCAGGTGCAGCGCCACTGATGCCTGCTGGTGGAAGAGTTGCCCCGCCTGGGTTTCCTGGACCCGCATTTCTACAGTTTCCACCTCCAAGTATGTCACAACCACCTCCGGATTTGCCACATGGACTTATTCAACGACCGCAAGGTGGAGGACCTGGGTACTCAGCATCTCGCGTACGGCAGGATGCTCGGCGTTCGCAGTCTCGTTCGAGGTAATTCCTTGGTATCGAGTGTGTTTTGTTCTCCTAGAGCGTGTTATGTAAACATTCCAGGCCAATTAGTTTGTTCCTGTTAGTTTTAACCGATTTGACTTTTTCTGATTGATTCCGTAGATCAAACACGCGCTCCCGGTCTCGATCCCGCTCTGCTGATTCTCGTCGCTCCCGATCACCGAGCCGCTCACGATCACGCAGTGTGCGGTCTCGATCGCGTTCTCGATCACGTGCCTCACGGTCACGCTCCAACTCCCGTTCACCCTCAAGCTCTCGCAATGCTGATGAAAATGGGTCTGGTTCAAACTCTGTCCAACGCGGATCTTCACGGAGTACTCGAAGGGGACGGTAAGTTAGAGTTTCATAGTTGTGCTTCTGCCGTTAATTTGTGTACGTGCTATAGAACTTGACCATGAAATATCGGTCGCGTGCCTATCTCCTTTCTCCCGTGATGGTCAATATGAGTACTGCCACAATCCTACGAGTTATTGTGTCTTCATTCTTAGGTAGAATCCGTTAACGGCTAGAGAGGCTGTAAGATGAGTCGTTCACGTAATCACCGCTTCACCCCTTCAAAGCTATTGTTTTCATTTGATATCGGTTCCACACTCCGTCCTTAATTCAACGGACGAAACTTTCGACCCACCAGTCTGGGGTTTTCTGCAGTATTTATTCGAACTCATGCTAGTACCTGCCTCACTGCATTCCCCCGGAGAGCGGAAGTGAGACTGAGAACCAAGTATAGTGTTACTGCGCTCGACTGATCGTGTTAGTAACATGAGACTTTCTAGGGACAGCACATACTAATTTAGCCGAAATTCATTCCTATCTGGTGATCATATACATATCTGTAGACTTTTGAGAACAAAAACGGCTTCGAGTGCGTTCAGTAACAGATTGGTTTTGTGTGAGTTTGAATGCTTTCGGAATTCAGACGGATGTCGCATTTTGTCCTCTGGCTTGCAACCATCGATTTGTGATCACTGTTACAGATACACACCATACTACTTATTTGCTTGTCCTGTCCCTCTGGATCATTAACTGCTTTCGGCCTGACATTACGGGCTTCGTTTTCTGTCAGGTTACACTGTCTTCAACTCCTAACAATGTTCAGTATTTTCTTGCTTTCTATGCAGGTCACGGTCGCGCAGTGGATCTGGCTCTCCGATGGCTCGTTTCACTTCAGCTCCTGGACCTGGTGGTATTGGAAGCGGTGGCAGTTCCCTCAGCAGCAGCAGCTTAATGGCAGCCAGGGCCGCGGCAATGGCCGTTGCTGCGTCCATAACTAATTCTCTCAATGCAAACAAAAACGCACCTCCGAACAACAATGCCCCAATGGATAGTAATCCACCACCACGGGGTTGGAGCAGTCGTCCTGACGGCTCCGGATCTCGGGTTGGAGGTTCGGGTAGCAGGTTTTCCGGACCGCCTGGCGGTGGGGCTGAGGTTGGTGGTGATATGAGGCCTTATGGTGGAGGCTACCAGTCGGTAAGTCTTCACCTTTTTGTGTGCGGCACTTTAGGGTGGATAAGTGTAATTCTTTGTCTCCACGGTTAACTCATGACCGTAACTATCGTTGACCAATCAACTTACTACACCCGACTTTTCCTACAGTGTTAACATGCCGTTATTGTGGAAAACGTGGTTATGGATAAACGGTGATTGCCTCACAATGCGAAAATCCGGAAACCAAATATCGCTTCTTTTGATGCTAGGATACGGTTACCAGTTTCCAGCTAACTTCAAGGACTGAACGGACTACGGCGTTAGGTGGCTAATTCGGGTTGAGAAAAGGGTAGTTCGTATCCCTGACCATAAATATCCCTTCCGGAGAAAAACCAGTTACGCTACCATGTGGACGCATGGCAATGCTGTTTCGATACTACCGCACATCATTTTCGGAATATGTGAAAATATTAAATGCCACCGGCAGCCAATTGCTTTGGGAGTATGTGTGGATGGTGATGATAGACCTAAGTTTTGGATGGACCGTTTACTTGGCACCCAGCGGGGTGTCAGGCCCGCACTTCAGCGAGCTTCGTTCTCCTTTCCGCTTCTCAGTTTACCAATCTACAACTTCGATATATATATATATATATATATTGCTGTTGGTTTGTTCGCTGGGCTGAGCAATTTGATTGCAAACGTTTCATCGCCAATCGAGGTGGCATCGTCAGTGCGTTTTTGGGCGATAGTCTTGGATGTACAGGTACTTTCGTAAGTAGTTGGTTCTTTCGTTATCTAGTCCTGCAGTGCCGTTTTTCGTTGGTATTCATACAGGTGTTGACCTAGATGAGCCAGAGAGAAAAAAATACTTGGGAACGTTACCTGGTTCTATATTGGATTAGTTTCTCCCGAGAAAGATTAACGAGTAACCCGCCCTATTTCCCCTGACAGGGTCCACCACCTGGTCGCGGTCCGGGTCGCAGTAGGTTCAGTGGAGGTCCCACCCCCAGTCGAGTTGCTGAGATGCATCTTCTGGGCGCCGGTCCGGATGAACGTTATCCTCAACAACAACAACAACCACACAAGGACTATCCGCGTTAGATTCCCACTGACCCTTACGCTGAAGTGTCGATCCTTCTTTCCCTGTTCGTTGTGCAGTCGATTCTGGTTTGTTTTTTTATGAATTTCCAAAGTAAATTATTATTTGAAAATGACTCGTTTTTATGTTTTTCCGAACACGCGGTCAGCTGCGTCTTCCGTTTGTTTCTGTATTTCCTGATCTGTTTCACTATTTGGGGAGGATTCAGCACTCTGTCGTGATCATGGGATTTCTTAGGGGGGCGACTGGTTTCATTGGACTAACAATGTGGATCGGTGGTTAGATGTCACTTCGCTCCATCTTCGTTAATATCAAGTTAACGATGAACCGATCTCCGATGAATCGGGGATCAGGGTAGGCGAATAGTTTAAAGAATTAGCACCACAGCAGTAACTTTTGATCAGTAAAGTAAAGTAAAGTAGTCGCGGGAAATATCAGTTATACAAAGTGGATTTTCTGCTTGTCTTGAGAATTCCCTGCCACTTAAGCAGACTACTCTAGTAACTACGGTTTCCAGTTGAGTTTGTTCACGTGGTCGCATTCTATCCGAGACACCAGTAACCGTTAGTGTCAGCGACAGTACTTCAATGTTTAATACCAATGTTTTACTGCCACACAACCATAAGTTATTATAAAAAAAGAATAAAAGGCAAGGTGTCGCCATGGTGTTAAAGCTCCCAGATGTGTGCACATTCAGTCTAAACAGAAGCGCACAACGAGAACGCAGTTGACATTAATTCCTATCCCCATATTGCGGCGTCTTCAGTCAAGCACGCGGAAGGTCGCCGCATCCCATGTTGGGAGACAGGTCTCGCCAACAATATCTAGACTTTTCGGATTCGCTTTCGTGCCCTTCTGCCAGGTCAAAGGTCGATTGTCTCTGTTCACGCCACTCCGAATTGAGCACGAAATGAATGCACACTTCTCGGCAGATGATGGCTCGGTACGTGTAATAAATAACTAAGCCACCGGTGTTGGATACAATCTTAGGTTGAAGTCACTGACGCGCTTTCTAGTCGCTGACAGTAGTTATCAAAGACCGCGAAACGTCTCAGCTTCGGTATCTGCAGAGGCCACGTCTCAAGTACACAACAGAACAACCCCCTACTGTAGCCTGATTTGCACGTCCATTGGGATTCACATATATACCACTTTGTCGCCATTTTTCTCACAAACTGGCAAACACCATCTGAGCACTCACCTCATTCATTACACCGCATTAGGATACAACACAACTCCCGAAAGTACATGCAAAGTCCAAAACAACGAGGTTCAGTACTACTTGGATATGCCAAAATTTTGTGGAAGGATTTTCTTACGCGTTGCGATTGGCCCTTACCTACTATAACATTGAAGGTAGTCTAATCTGACAATTTTAGGGATATAGTGTTGGGGAACGGCTTTTCATGCTTCACGGGGACGCATTAGCTATTTGAATTCCTACCGCTTAGAGTTCTGGTCTGTATAATGCATCCTTGTGCATTTCTTAATATATTTACCGATCTCAGGCATTCTTTGAGAGTCATCTGAAGCGCCGAATGGAGTTCTGACTCTGGACTTGGCCGCAATGTGATTGTCGTTTCCTTTTCTTCGTTAGTCTGCGCCTGTACAGTGTTTAGGTTAAATTCACCAACTTAGGGTTAACCGAAGAGTCTTCTGGGTTTCTACGATTTCAGCTTTTTAGGGATTGTTTTACGAATCCTTGATCCTTGGCAAGTCAGTCTTCTCCACTAGATATCGGTCATACGATTGGAATACCATCAAAACATTAGAATCGCGAGCGTTTTTCAAACAACACTACCTAAGAGCAACTACCTACCAACGCTTTCCTTACAGTAGCTTTCGGAGATGCCTGTCCATTGAAAAGCGAAGGGTACAAGCATCCTTCCAACCAGACGGCTGTCCGTGAGTCGAACGTCTTTCAAGGTGAGTTTGTGCAATTTCCAATCGGTATTCGTCAAACGTCACTTTGACCGATCCAGTCAACGTGACCATGATATCATCACATTTGTCCGATGTTGGTGATCTAGAGTGATCGGTGGCTTGTCATTTCTAATTCGTTTGCATTTACCTACTCATGAGTAACTTATGGATCCCGAAATTGTATCGTTGTCTGTTACCCTGGGTACCAGCGGTAGAGACTGCTCCAGCGAACAACTCTAACAGCTACTGGAAACCAGTTGTACACGTGACACGCCTGATTTGTTTCAATTTCCGGTGATGCTCGAGCTCACTGGGTCTTTGACAATTTAAGGGTACAGAAACTATAGCGTACGATATCTCATGGTCCGTTTCCTATGACAAAAGTTAGACACACATTAAAACTGTCAATCAGCATGTTAATTTTCTAAAGTCCCACTTAATGTTTAATATAGTGCACATGAAATTGCTTGCAGAAGTGAGACCTAGATGAAGTGGAGGCTCGTATTTTCTGTTACAGCTAGGCGGTGACAGTCTCTTGACTATCGGGTGTGCGGGTGGCTGACCAACCTGTATTTTTATATCTTGGGCCAAATCGTGTTCCATAACTTTTACAATCAAAGTGGGGGCTTTTTACTGCCTTTTGTAGCTATTCTCCTAAGACGACCTGATCACTTTTACATTCAATCAGAATGGTGAAGGTTTGCGTCGTCGGTTGCCTTCATGGAGAATTGGATCGAGTCTACACGGACATTGCTGCTGCGGAGGAAGCTGGAGGGTTCAAAACTGACTTGGTCCTTTGTTGTGGCGACTTTCAGTCCCTACGCAATCCGGTGGACTTGTCTGGGATGAGTGTCCCACCAAAGTACTATGCAATGGGTGACTTTTGGAGGTGAGTTCGACTTAGCATAATTTTTTCACACTCCGCCGTCCATCCACCCCGTAGCCTTAGAAATGTGCCTGTACTGATCGGCACGACACATCTGACTTTTCAAAGCTGATTCTTTTCATACCGCGGTTCTTCCATCTAATGGCTTTTCCCGTAACGATCCCGTGTCTCGTACGACCGCATGATTGTGTACGGTCTTCGAAATATAATGTCCTCCAATGCAACCGTATTCATCTTGGTTTCTTTAGGTAGGATCTATATCATTTGAACTATACCGCCTGTACCATTTTAACTTTAACTAAAGGACTTATAATTACAAGAGCTGGAAAGCCAATCACTTTGTCTAGGCTTGGGTAACCTGGCAGTATCCCAGCCTTCGTATCCCTTCCTTCGAGTAGCACGGCAGCTAGGCACCGGAAGGGTGTTACAGCTGAACGAATTTTTTTCGATTTCTTTACGCATGATTCAGTGACCGATTCTCATCATGGACGACAAACTACTGGAATGAGATTCGTAGGTTTCCAACCAGAGTGTGGATAAAATGTCTGGCCACGCACAGAGCATGTTAAAGCCCTGGAACTGTCGATGATAGCTCGCAGTCCTTTTTCAGCCGATTCAGACCTTCCAAGCTGCACTGTTCAGCCAGCTGAAGCCGTCAATAGTCAAGGAATACAGCTTACGATGATGAGAATTCTTAGATATAGGATAATTCTGTCGCGAGTCCTCGACCTCCGTCAAACTGAGCTAAGAAGTTCCACCTCACCGAAGCCTCAGACCGTAACGTCGCTCATTTAGATACAACAAGCCCAGCTCAAACTTCTAAGCTGGTAGTTATGATGGCCTTTTTTACCCGTTCTGATTTTAGAGAATAACGTCATAACCATTGGTCAATTGTGACAGAAGAGTTTACAAACACTCCACTTACTGAGTGTTTGAAACCCCATACTACGGATTCGAGTACTCCTTTCCTACACTCTTATCTGGACATCTCGCGTACTAACAATAGTCCTATCACATCTTACCCAAAATCATTTGACTTCTATTCCGTCGGACTAGGTGGATGGAATTAATTAAGCAAGCGTAAATTTGGTGGATGGAATTAATTAAGCAAGCCGTAAATTTGTACCCACCACTATTCTGTAGGATACTGCAATTCTATTCTATTATTAGACTAACATTTAGCGGGTGACAAAATAACACGCGTCCGATCCACAGTACTACTCTCAACCACATTGACACTGGTGAAGACACGCTCACATTCATGCTACTCCAGCAGTTCGACTGAGGCTAAGCATGCATGCCCAATGTGTCCACTTTGTCTAGCACGGATACACCCTTTCCATTTGTGTGGACGTACATTCGCTGCTGCTGTGGGTACAGATTAGCATGATATTAGTCCAGCAGTCAAATGTACTGTTTTTGACGCATGCTTCATCGTTTGAGCTCGTGTTTTTGGCTCTACGCAGGACAGCCGCCTGGTAGGCATTCCGAATTCATGACGGACACTTGCGCACTTCACAGCCGCATTTATGTGATGCATGTTAACTGGTTCTTGGTCCTGGTGGCTTCCCTAATCTCAGGCGGGATGTTCTGTATGTACCATGCTCGGTAAGAAAACGACTGGACGTCATCTCAGCTGTTTTTATGTGATGAGAATCAATGCATAGGATTAGGATGATTGTCTTTTTTCTCTTGAAATTATTACTCCTACTCTGCCTTCCGAATTTTCCTCACTTCAAGTGAAGTTAGGACATTACAGAGAGAGCACTGTAGTTGATTGCACGCGGTGGCAGTTTACTCATTTGGATGAATAGAACGCAGGCAAAGTTTACCTGACAGAATTAGGAAAGTGCCATCTGAAACTTCAATATATGGACAAGAAGTTAATGAAAACTCTTTGACAGCCCACTAACGGTTTCGCCCTCTTTAGGGCTCACCAGATAGGTTTAGTCTCCGAGCTTCCATCGTTCTACTTGAATACCAAGTTGGATACGTTACCTATAATTTTTCTGTGTGACTGATGTGAGCCCAACCCAAAAGCCATGTGATATGCCCTATAACGGCATGGTGTAGTTTTTAAAAACCGCGCCTCAACTTGTTATCGTGCTTGGTATGTTAAACAATGGTTGTTTTTCGATGTGTCGAATATCGTAACAACTGAGACATGGGGCGGTCTTTTACTTCACGTTCGTTTGTTGGGTTCCATAAACGAGAGATTCCTCTGGGAGTTAGCTGTTTCCTGTTAACATTGAATTAATTTGCAGATGAGTATGTTTCTCCATTTGCGTCTAGTTCGATGTTCAAGCAGGGAATAAGGTTGATGGAAAGTCGGGGCTATGTCTACCTGATGAATCTCTGTTGTGGACCACAATCCCTTAGTGCTTTCTTATTACCGTGAACCCCGGTCTGGATAGCCGCTTGACCGCCTGGTGCGCTTGGCCAAACCAGAAAAGTCAATGAACGTGAGGGCCAGCTGCTCTGCTGATCACTGTCGCGTGCAAGCGGTCGAAAGTGATACTAAGAATACAGCTCATCGGTTAAGGGCGAGTGAAGAACAACCAATGAAATCTGTCTCAACGAAAAAAAAGGTTCCATTGGCAGTTACGTTCGGACCCGGTTCTCCTAATAACCTCAAAGAGAGTCGAGACTCTAGTGGGTTGTCGAACAGTCTTCAGAAACCTTCCAAGTAGTGTGTTACGGCAAGAAAATATGCTCCGACATCTCGAATGCCGATGGCCTTTGTACAGCGCATTCAATTGAGGAACCTCATATTTCCGCCGGGATTCAGCTCTGAATTTCGCCAACAGCACTATAGTTTACGAATGAGTACATTTCTTCACTGTATGTTGTTTAGTTATTATCGTTGGCACTGTAAGGGCACGGTTTGACCTGGGCCTCAGATATTTTAACGGACTGGGTCGTTCTCGACTAGTTAGCGCAAGTTGTCATAATAGGGTTGCTTCCAATCGACTCTGTCGTTTTCTACTTCTACACTACACTATTCACTTACTGTAGATACTATTCGGAAGAACGACGTGCTCCAGTGTTGACCCTGTTCATCGGTGGCAATCACGAGGCCTCTGCATATTTACAAGAATTGCCCTATGGTGGCTGGGTTGCGCCAAACATATGGTATATGGGTGAGTCATCATTCCACCTGACACCTGTGTTTTCATCCTTCTTGTTTCTTTGGTGAGATGCCTACCACGAGTTCGTTTCCGGCAGCGGATGCTTCGTGCTACACATACTTATTGGCTCTAAATGCGGCTTGCGATTACAGTGTCTCGTGTTGTTTGAACGCAGTTGAGCAGACAACAAGCTAATAGAACCACAAGAGTAAAATAGCAACTAAACAGATATGAAGCAAGCGGTAAGTCGGATCAAGAGAACCCAGTACAGGCTAAGCAACTTGAGCAACGCACATCCACCGGTTGCGAGGCTTCGTGGTGTCAAGAAATGTGCGCTGACTTTCTTGCCGAGCTGAGCGACTTGGTTGCAAATGTCGGTCATCCAGGATTTCGGGATACATCTTCCTCCTTGGGCAGCAGATGGACTGATTGCCATCCATTTCCACGTATAACGAAGTACTATTATAGTGTAACTCAGCGGTGGGTGTTAACTCCGTTAAAACAATGGTAACACATTCCAGTGATGCACTTCACCGTGTACTCGTTCATCCAGAGAGTCCACTTACAGTACTTCTGTACAGATTTTCAGATTCCTTGTAACACCCTTTTGCTTTTTGCTCATCTCTTCTGCATTGGCACTTGCTTCTAAATGTCCTTTGATTCGGATATAACGTTTTGCCCCTTATATACGCTTCACCCTTCATTAGGATATGCCGGTGTTGTCCAGTTCGGAGGTCTGAGGATAGCAGGCCTCTCGGGTATCTATAAGCAACACGACTACACAATGGGGCACTACGAGCACCCTCCATACTCCGAATCATCCAAAAGATCAGTGTACCATGTTCGCAATCTAGAGGTTTTTCGATTAGGTCAAATCCGTCGACCCGTGGACATAGTGCTCAGTCATGATTGGCCACGTGGTATCTATCACTACGGCAACTCCAGAGCCCTAATTCGCTACAAGCCACACTTTGCGGAAGAGATTCGGGAGGACGCTTTGGGCAGCCCACCGGCGGAACAGCTCCTGTGTCGTCTACGACCCAGATACTGGTTCTCTGCACATTTGCATTGCCAATTCGCTGCAGTCGTTCAACACCTGGTAAGCTTCCTTCAGATGAATTTCAGTTCATTTCTCAACACTTCCAATGGGCTACATGAAACAGAAGTTTGATTCCAATTCGGTTATACTTTTGTCGTTTGTCTGCCTTTTTGATGTTGTCGTCATGGGTCCTCAATCACGTATTACTCATAGTTTATCAACCACTCTTTTTCCTTATCAGTGATCGCGTCTGACTCTGAACTTAGTTGAAGGGGCTGTAATGTTGTGGCATATAGGTAGCTCGGTTGCACTGCTTGGTTGTTGGTCTATTCACCGAGTTTGGCAGTTGGATGGCAAACGTTTCATCACCAATTGAGGTGACATCGTCACTGCAACCCCGCACTGGATTGGAGCTGAAATAGTATCAAGCAGAACAAACTTTATCTACAGAGTGGTGTACGCATTGCATACTGACATATACTGACTTCCATTGATAGATCTCTCCAAAAAAACGGCCTGGTAACACAATAACCACGAAATCCTTCACCAGTTTCATGTGGAATCTGCGATCAAGTAGGTAGTTCCAGTCATAAGAACCGCTCATAGACCGTTATTGTTCGAACCAGTGCGGTAACGTGTTTTCACATTTTCCATTTTTGGAAGTCTGTTCACACGAGTGCCTTATTCCGAACACAGCTACCATTCCACGAAGGCAAACTATTTGAATGCACAATAATCACTAGAAAAATCCGCAGAGGTATTCTTTCCCATATTTCTGTTTCAGAATACCATCTGGCTCATAAGTCTACTGTGTTCCAATGTCAAGGTCCTCCAAATCACATTTATTAGATTTTCAAGCAGTCGGATATCTTTCTGCGTCTCGTACAAGTCTGAGAAGCTTTCCTGCATTCGCTGTTTCAGCTCGTACACCTTTTATACGAGAAGAGATGGATTGTACTCTCATAAATTCTTCTTTGAATCTTCGACGGTCTTGAAAATGGTATTTCTACCCCCAAAAATTGAACGTTCCTTTCAAGATTCTTTCGTACCGTTTTACATCCATTCCTAATGCTTTAATGCCTCCAACAATTGCGAGAATCCTAGGTTTGCAACCCCTACGAGGCCGTACAAAAGAGGTTCTGTTTCTTCATGTTTTCCATCAGAAACATGTTAGCTTTATTTCAAACTTTGTAAAATCAGGACATACATTTGCTGGATCTGAGTCACTCAACTGGAGCTTGGTATGTCAAATCATGGAAATAGGGATCAACTTTTTTCTCAAGAACTGAATGTGGGATGGGACAAAGTTCACCATAAAGACGATTGGTTCCACGGTGGAAGACTTGACTGACCCCATTGCACACAGTGTATGGAGGCGTAATTTTCTGTAACTTATGTGGTACTCTAAAAGGCACTCGATGCCTCTATACTTGTCCAGGTAAACGTTTCCTCCTTCCACCGACATATACTGAAGTCACCTCCAGTGTACATTGTAGTCTGACACGGAATATATCTTCCTTTATGTGCTTCTATCACGTGCCTCCACGCGTAAATTGTAAAAATTGGAAAATACTTGAAGCGTCAGTGTATTCCTCAAGCACCCGAAAATTCCATAGGAATCCTTCGACGTCAGTCTCCGCGTGCAAATGTGTTCACTGATAAGTTGATATCTTCAAATAACTCACTTTGTTTATGCACCTCTCAGTCGGAAAATAAGGTAAATCTATTGGTGGTGCTCATTTGTTCTGCCTTATTTGTGAGATTCATAAAGATGCTTCGGTGTTTCGAATTTTTCGAAACGCGCACGCATTAAATTCGCGTGCATTTTGACAAAGGTTGTAGCCCTTTCCTTAATTCACGGTTTCAGGCGCGCGCACAAATGAGGTATTACATGTTTCCGAAGAGCCCGGAAGATATCCGCTGCATTCTTAACGGTTTTTCTGTGACACTAACTAATTTTCTGTGTGACTTACTGCTGAGTTATCAAGAACATTAGAACATCGTAATTCACCGTCGTCTGCGTTGAATCCATTCCTTACTGGTTACTGTCGGCAGGTCTCACTGTATTCTTGTGGTAGGACATTCATCAAACTAAGTTTTGAAATCATCCGTTTTATACCGAAGAAAACAACACTACTGGTTGCTGTAAAGCAATAGTTACAAGTGTGAGGACGAGAGAAAGTTGGAGATTGGAGTCCGTTGCTCAGTAATTACAAGAAGAATTAATAGAATAATTACCCACAGCTCAATTTTCAGTAATGATCACAGTGTGGAGACAAGGTCCGCGTCGCGTTAACAAAATTTCGGAATGAGAGAATTAACTACTCCAACTTACATGGTAGGGCTTGTGGTTTCTTGCGTGTCGCTGTAAACGACAGGTGTGCAGCTCATGCAATTCGTCGCTGGTACATGTGCTGTAGCCTATCTGTCATTCTTCTAGCTCACTGATTTGTCTGTCCAACAAAGCGGCCCACTATAGTGCATCTTGTACGATTCCTGCTCCATTCTTTGTTAGGTTTTCGTCCTACCTGATTCGCCCCATCTTTTTTCGGAGAATGAGGAAATTATCCTCATTTGTGACACCAACCAGCGAAGGGAAGTGACCTGACAGATTGCAGATTGAGGGCACGTGCTCCAACTGGGCATGGATGTCATGCTTGGAACTCGATCCAAAATTGCCCGTATTTCAGAGATTCCCTTCTAGAATTGTGGTCACGTTTGCCTGTTTGCTCTAACTCGCATGCATTTTAACGTTATCTATCACCGCTTCTGTTGCATTTCCAGATGCCAGGAAATATCTTTTCCTAACTCCACATTCTTGCTATTTTAGACACACAAACCATCTTTCCAGATCCGTTGTGTCATGACGTTTGCTTGTGTGCTTGTCCCTCTCTAGGCCCGTAGGATTCATCCTGCGGGGAGAGGGAAATGTTTGTCTGTATGCTCGTTTTGTTCAATGATGGCCTTGCTTGCAAAGTTGTGTTCTCACGCAATTCGCCGAATTCGCGGATGAATATGCGGACTAATTGATGGTGTTCGTTTCGGGCTAACTCAACCAATAGTGGTCAGTTATTTCACCACATGACTCGGTAAACATCGGTGTTCACATTTAGGTTTGTGCAAATCGACCCTATCCCATTGTGCACTCTATTGTGGTAGAGCTGAGCCCTGTAGCCGATCAGCATCAGCGTATCTTGCTTGTCCGACGTTCATCCCCAAAACTCACTAGCGGTCATACCGTTCATTTAGGGTTCGCAATAAGAAATATCCGCGAATGCACATCTCTATCGTATAGATAAGCTTCCTCTTATCACTGGATTCTTTGACTTGCAGAGGAAAAGGATACCGTGGGTAGTTGCTTTAGTCTTACGGAAGCTGAACTGACAACCTAACACGAAGTACGGAGTATTCTCTTTTAAAAAGGGTCCTTTACTGGTTTTTCCAATATCTGCTTGCCCTTGATGACAGTTGCATCTATCTATCTAACTCTTCATTTGCAATCCCTTTCTGCAGGATTATTCTCACGGTCAGTTGAGACAGACTCGTTTCTTGGCTCTCGATAAATGTCTTGCAAAACGAGACTACATTCGATTTATGGACATTGATCCACAGAATCCGTCGCCAGATTCTTCCTTGCAGTTGGATGATGTGGACACTTGTGATGCATCATTCATTGTTAGTATTGCATTGAAGTCCTCACTTCCTGAGCCGGTTTGCAATCCCTCGATGGACGATTCGGCCGTGACAGATCCAGAGGCAGATAAACAATCAGAGGAGGATTCCACTGGACTCTTTCTTGATCCCGAATGGCTGTGTATTCTGCGCTCAACTAACCATTTGATGACTACTTCCCGAGTTCCCTGTATTCTACCAGAGAAAACGGCACAGGAGAGGTTCGTTATCCACGCATAGATTTGTTACGAAAAGAGCATATAAGATTTCTAGACGGCACTATCAAGTTACTTCCGTTTGCTGTTATGTTAGGGTATCCCCAGTCACTGCCGATGATAAACGGTGATCACCAGCAAGGACCGAGCATGGAGCCATCGTTTGCTAGTCAGCTTTCCATTTTGTCTTTTGGTATTAGTTGGACTGAGTTGAAACTCCAAATATTCTGAAGGGATCCTCACTCACCAACCTCATACGCCAGTCAAGTATTCGTCTTCACAAGTATTTTGTGGCTTAGCCCAGCTCTCAGAAAAGTACTGTCGTCCAGCTTACAACAGTCCTATATGGCTGGCTACTCCAAGTCCCTGATTTCGCATGTCAGTCTCTAGTCCATCAAACTAACATGAATGCACGCAACACAGTGAAATCTCCCCGTTCCAACCGGTTCGAACCCCCTATTGCGTACTTCATCTTGAAAAGTAACATCAGCCCATTTCATCANATCAAACTAAGTTTTGAAATCATCCGTTTTATACCGAAGAAAACAACACTACTGGTTGCTGTAAAGCAATAGTTACAAGTGTGAGGACGAGAGAAAGTTGGAGATTGGAGTCCGTTGCTCAGTAATTACAAGAAGAATTAATAGAATAATTACCCACAGCTCAATTTTCAGTAATGATCACAGTGTGGAGACAAGGTCCGCGTCGCGTTAACAAAATTTCGGAATGAGAGAATTAACTACTCCAACTTACATGGTAGGGTTTGTGGTTTCTTGCGTGTCGCTGTAAACGACAGGTGTGCAGCTCATGCAATTCGTCGCTGGTACATGTGCTGTAGCCTATCTGTCATTCTTCTAGCTCACTGATTTGTCTGTCCAACAAAGCGGCCCACTATAGTGCATCTTGTACGATTCCTGCTCCATTCTTTGTTAGGTTTTCGTCCTACCTGATTCGCCCCATCTTTTTTCGGAGAATGAGGAAATTATCCTCATTTGTGACACCAACCAGCGAAGGGAAGTGACCTGACAGATTGCAGATTGAGGGCACGTGCTCCAACTGGGCATGGATGTCATGCTTGGAACTCGATCCAAAATTGCCCGTATTTCAGAGATTCCCTTCTAGAATTGTGGTCACGTTTGCCTGTTTGCTCTAACTCGCATGCATTTTAACGTTATCTATCACCGCTTCTGTTGCATTTCCAGATGCCAGGAAATATCTTTTCCTAACTCCACATTCTTGCTATTTTAGACACACAAACCATCTTTCCAGATCCGTTGTGTCATGACGTTTGCTTGTGTGCTTGTCCCTCTCTAGGCCCGTAGGATTCATCCTGCGGGGAGAGGGAAATGTTTGTCTGTATGCTCGTTTTGTTCAATGATGGCCTTGCTTGCAAAGTTGTGTTCTCACGCAATTCGCCGAATTCGCGGATGAATATGCGGACTAATTGATGGTGTTCGTTTCGGGCTAACTCAACCAATAGTGGTCAGTTATTTCACCACATGACTCGGTAAACATCGGTGTTCACATTTAGGTTTGTGCAAATCGACCCTATCCCATTGTGCACTCTATTGTGGTAGAGCTGAGCCCTGTAGCCGATCAGCATCAGCGTATCTTGCTTGTCCGACGTTCATCCCCAAAACTCACTAGCGGTCATACCGTTCATTTAGGGTTCGCAATAAGAAATATCCGCGAATGCACATCTCTATCGTATAGATAAGCTTCCTCTTATCACTGGATTCTTTGACTTGCAGAGGAAAAGGATACCGTGGGTAGTTGCTTTAGTCTTACGGAAGCTGAACTGACAACCTAACACGAAGTACGGAGTATTCTCTTTTAAAAAGGGTCCTTTATTCTCCTCTCCAACGTCTGCTTGCCGTTGATGACAGTTGCATCTATCTAACTCTTCATTTGCAACCCCTTTCTGCAGGATTATTCTTCAGTTGAGACGGAGTATTCTCTTTTAAAAAGGGTCCTTTACTGGTTTCTCCAACGTCTGCTTGCCGTTGATGACAGTTGCATCTATCTAACTCTTCATTTGCAACCCCTTTCTGCAGGATTATTCTCACGGTCAGTTGAGACAGACTCGTTTCTTGGCTCTCGATAAATGTCTTGCAAAACGAGACTACATTCGATTCATGGACATTGATCCACAGAATCCGTCGCCAGATTCTTCCTTGCAGTTGGATGATGTGGACACTTGTGATGCATCATTCATTGTTAGTATTGCATTGAAGTCCTCACTTCCTGAGCCGGTTTGCAATCCCTCGATGGACGATTCGGCCGTGACAGATCCAGAGGCAGATAAACAATCAGAGGAGGATTCCACTGGACTCTTTCTTGATCCCGAATGGCTGTGTATTCTGCGCTCAACTAACCATTTGATGACTACTTCCCGAGTTCCCTGTATTCTACCAGAGAAAACGGCACAGGAGAGGTTCGTTATCCACGCATAGATTTGTTACGAAAAGAGCATATAAGATTTCTAGACGGCACTATCAAGTTACTTCCGTTTGCTGTTATGTTAGGGTATCCCCAGTCACTGCCGATGATAAACGGTGATCACCAGCAAGGACCGAGCATGGAGCCATCGTTTGCTAGTCAGCTTTCCATTTTGTCTTTTGGTATTAGTTGGACTGAGTTGAAACTCCAAATATTCTGAAGGGATCCTCACTCACCAACCTCATACGCCAGTCAAGTATTCGTCTTCACAAGTATTTTGTGGCTTAGCCCAGCTCTCAGAAAAGTACTGTCGTCCAGCTTACAACAGTCCTATATGGCTGGCTACTCCAAGTCCCTGATTTCGCATGTCAGTCTCTAGTCCATCAAACTAACATGAATGCACGCAACACAGTGAAATCTCCCCGTTCCAACCGGTTCGAACCCCCTATTGCGTACTTCATCTTGAAAAGTAACATTAGCCCATTTCATCAGCTTTTATCGTCTTCTCCCCCTGTTTCGTATATCCGGTCACAGTAGTCTCACGGATCCCCTTACGTTATTGCTTCCATTTTAGGCATGGAAGCTCATTATCCTGACTGTATGAACTTACTGTTCGTCTTCTTTTACCTCCTTCCATCGTTTTTTAGTTGATTATCAAAGTTTTAGCCCAAAGTTTTCCTATCATCATCAGATGGCCTTGAAGGACGACTTTTTATGGTTTCTTTTCCCGCGCGAGTAGCGTACCGCAACGTTAACTCACCACAGACCCTGTACCTTGTCCAAATCACCCATGATTTATTTTATTCGGCTGACTGCTCTATCCCTCATCGGCTCTTCTGATAGTTGTGTCACTGCTTGTTTTCGCTTCACTTCCGCTGTCTCTTACTTCCTTTTCGCCCCTTTTTCTGATACTACCTGTCTGCTGGTTGAAGTGAAATGCGACGAGTTCCCGGCTTCTGTCAGGGACTGCCGAGTCTCAAAAAAATTTCACTCGGTACCCCACAAGTGTCTCCAGTAATACATTTCTCTTAGGCCCCAATTTTCTGAACTAGGTGAAAATTCATCTTTATAATGCTTTAATATTGCTGTTAGAAGAAACGCCTGAATATATAAAAGTGGATATTTTCACTCCTTCATCCCTCTTGGACTATGTTACGGAGCCCAACTTCTGTATTACCATCATCCACAACACCAAGGATAGGTTCGTCAGTCGCACGTCTGATCATCTGTCTAGTAAATTTTCCGGAAGTTTGTATTTCTGGAATCTCGCAAAGGTAGTATCCTATCCTTCTGTTCGCGACTCCAATGAGGTTCTATGATGCTCCCTTAAAAAAAGTCTGGAATGTTCGCTCAACCTTTTGTTTCAGATTGCACAATTTCATATCCAACCTGTGTTCCACTCTAGCTTCAGACTTATTCCCCATGCCCAGGAACTCAACTGGATTTGTTTGTCCATGTCATTAGTCACTTCTAGTCTTCCTAGTCCGCAGTACTCCCCGCCCCCTATTCCGCTACGTACCTGTGCTCCGGGATTCGCTCCAACCATATTTCATCTTTTCACTTCATCCGATTTGTTTCCTCACGCCACATCCAATTCCAAAGCCCTTCAAAACAACCAACATATTGTCCAAAGTGGTAATCAACCTTAGTCAAACACCGTGATCTGAAAGTTAACAGCCTCTTGTGCGGTCACTAATGAGGGTTCAGGCACCATTACTCTACCGTTGACTTACCACAGTTGCAGTTATCTGAAGTGGAGTCTCATGGTAAACTGAACTGTTATGCCCTAATGTCTCGAAGCTTTCTGATCCAGTAGAAACGACCTTGTGTTTACAGACCGATACTATACGAACCGCATCCAGACTTTCGGAACTGGGTTGACCCCCCTCCACACACACACGCACACACATACATCCGTCAGTTCCGGTCCGTTTTGACGGCCTTCTTTAGAATCTACAAGACCGATGCAAGTGCTCCCTGGGGTTTTTTCCACATTGATCTAATTGTTCCATTCTATTTTTGGTTGCATTAAGGCCGTTTTTTAACAATGCATCTCTCACAACATTTTTGAACCCTTTTCTGTCCTAGGGTATGCTTCATTTAGGATTTTTGATGATCGCATGACACCCGATGTTACAGACATTTCTGATTGAACGCGATGAAATTCAACCCCAACAAATCCGCGTATGTTTCTCTCTGTCCACGTCTGAACGGCCTTCCTTTGTCAGCTTCCTTTTCTTCATTGATTTTGATCGTATCCCTCAATCATCCTACTATTAGCTTCTTGTTGTGTCCTTTTTGAGCAACCTCAGTTGGTTCCCGAAGGTGGAAATAAGTGCTATCTAAGCCTTCAGAGGGCCTTACTCCTCTTTTAACCCTCGTACCTATTCCCGCCTCATACCAGCTTCTACGATGCACGTCTCCTACCCAACTCGTCATAGAATATCGCTGTCATATTTGAGGTGATCTCTTTTATATATCTCACTCCTAGGCAATATTCGGTGAGTAAGCGTGGGTGTGAGTGATTCTGAACAGCTGTCTGTGTACCCTCTCACCGTCTAAATATAGCCTCCCTCCATAGTTCCTTATCACCATCCTGTTGAATACTCTGTTGAACTGGTTCTCTGTCGCACTCACAACTGTACAGTGGTCCGATCTACCTTCACTCCTCTAGTCACTCGTATCAGGTTTTGACCCTACCCAGATGCTCATTGCCGACCAGAACTCTTAGGATACCCCTCCTCTTTCTGTCTTCCATTCGCTTGTTCATTCCTTGATAAGGCTGCACTGTTGTGCGCTCACTGGTCGTCCGTTTTATGGACTGTTTCATGCTTTATACATATCATTCTTGTAGACTATGGATCCTCTCTTGTAGGCAGTTTGTTGCTTGTTCGTTTGTTTGCTGACATACAACAGCCGAAGATGGCATTAGTTATACTGGAGTAGTTAGTCGCCGGACTACGACTCACTTTGCAGGGTTCAACAACAGTCTTGACATCGTGATCCTAATTTACATACCAGGCTCACCACCTCCGTTTACTTTGTTCCATCCTTTCTCAAGGTGCGACTTCTCTGTAACTTCCGAGGAAATTCGCGCTCTACACGAGACTTTCGGTAACGAGTTTGCCATACCCGACAACTTCGAACGAACCGCCCCTGCCTACAAACCAAACGAGGCAAACGGGCTGCTTTCGGGCGGCGTACCACTGAGCTTGCAACAACAAGCTGCCGTCCAACCGAAACAGGCCCTCTTCTCTAACCCTCAAACAGAACTTCTTTGTGCCATGTTGGATCTAGTAAATCCTAATGCCCTACTCCTTGGACGCGCCTCTTACTGTCTTTCCGAATTGTCCTCTCAGCTTGAAGCAAAAAATGCGCTGGAGGAGGAGGAGGAGGATGAGGAAGAAGAAGACGACAATGATGAGCGTTCTGCTGTGGATGGCGAAGGAAAGGCAGGTTCTCAGGTGCTTGCTGATGTGGAAGACGTGGATTCACGATATGATCAGCCACCGCCTGCCACCCATTTGCCCGATCCTAATGCCAGTTGGCTCCTTTCAGAATGTTCTGGTATATCAGCCGACACTACTGAATATGATCCTCTAAGTAGTTCTTGCATGTCTCCACAAAATCAGACATCTGTTAATGACCCGCACACACAATATGAATATCAGACTGGCGGAGCCGTTCGAAATCCAGAAGAAGTCTATCTTGAAGATATCCAAGAAGACGATGATGCGGAAGATGCGGTTTATAATTTTTCCACAACAGAGTCGTGCAAATTGTCGCCTCAGCCCAAGTTGGACACATGTGTTGAGGCTTACAGCCCGCAACCCGTTGTGGAGTCTGACAACGGATTGGACGCAGACTACACTTCTACTCCTTACACTGCACCGATTTCAATCCATGGCTATGTTCCAACCACACCTTCAAAGGCGGTCTCTTCGAACTTGGAAGAAATTCCCTTACCTGTTGGCAGCGAATCAAGTGAAGATGACGACACAGTATGACCAACAAACGGGCAGCATTCGAACAGTCTTTTTCTGTTCATGTGTGTTCTAGGCCGACCGGCTCATTATTTTTACCACTCAGTTTAACTTGCAGTTCTCAGCACCTTTTATCACCCTCAAATTTGTACATAACTCCAGAGCGTGGAATAATTTTGATCTGACTACGGTCTTCTTCATATTACTTAGGGTGGTTTATGGCTTATTTTGACTAGTAGCTCGGTCATTGTGGTATGGTTATAGTGTACCATTCTCAGCCCGCCAGATAGTAGCCAATCTCCCCACAATTGGTCTGCTACATTTGTGTTAGCAATGGCAGCAGGTTTTCAGCTCATAAAGTTTCCTGGAAACTTGGTCATGCAAATGCCCAAGTGGTGTTCGTCTCTGAAACCAACAGTTTTGCATAGTGTGGGTAGAAAGTGCATCCACTAGGATGATCTACCAATGTGAAGGTGAGAAATAGTGATTTGAAAAAAAGTAACTGTAAAGGCACAAAGGGAATTTAGACAAAAGGCGGCGGACGTGTTGCCAGTTCGAGGAAACATTCGTCACCAGCTAGAAGATGCTGCGTCAAACTTTCATCTTGAACTTGGATTGTATTTCAGAACTCTATTCGTGTCCCATCAGCTCATTCTATCCAAACTATACGTCTCAGTTCTTTGTATCGGCTCGCTTGTCTACTGAATAACCACGAGAAGTTTTTATTAATTCCGATTCGGGATATCTTTTCCAATTAACTGTTGGAGAGATGTTGCGAGTCGTGGAGCATTAGAAATGCGGTGCTGGGGCGCGAAACACCTCCATCCAATGATGAAA